CAGTCTTTATCTTACCCTGAACATTCCCTTTCTATGAATCCCAGGTCTTTAGATAAAGTCAACCAATTGTCAATCAGAAAATGTTTAAGTTCACCTACAGCCTGGAAGCCCCCATTTTGAGTTGTCCCACCTTTCTGGACCAAACCAATATATTTCTTTCTTTTTTTTTGAAATGGAGTCTCTCTCCTCTCTGTCACCCAGGCTAGAGTGCAGAGGCACAGTCTCAGCTTGCTGCAACCTCCGCCTCCCGGGTTCAAGCGATTCTCCTACTTCAGCCTCCCAAGTAGCTCGGACCACAGGCACGTGCCACCACACTTGGCTAATTTTTGTATTTTTAGTAGAGAATAGGTTTCACCATGTTGGCCAGGCTGACCTCAAGTGAGCTGTCCGCCTTGGCCTCCCGAAGTGCTGGGATTACAGGCCTCAGCCACCATGCTCGGCCTCCAGTGTATTTCTTAAATGTATTTGATTGATGTCTCATGCCTCTCTAAAATGTATAAAACCAAGCTACATCCTGACCACCTGGGGTCCATGTTCTCAGGACCTCCTAAGGGCTGTGTCATGGGCCACGGTCACTTATATTTGGCTAAGAATAAAGCTCTTCAAATATTTTACAGAGTTTGACTCTTTTCGTTGACACACATAAACGTGCAGTAAGTCCTCACTTAACTTTCACAGTAGACCTATGATTTCTACTCAGCGAATTGAAAGTAAATCTTATAGAACTATATAGTCAATTCAACAATTTTTCACCAACGTCCTGAAATAATCACTTTAATCACTTTCAGGGTCTGATTTAAAATCTTGAATGAGACATATTTCTTGGTCCCATTCTCAATTTAGGTGTGAGTTTGAGGAGGCACAGGGTGAGTATAGGTTTGGTTACACTAATGTTTTAAAAGTTTTATATAATCATTAGTCACTATGTCTGGATAAAATGTTGTTTCTTGGGATCAGCAACACAATGAACTTAATTGCCTTAGAATGGACACATTATTTCAGTGTGTCTGTATTCATTAGGCCACCCTATTGATGTCCAAAGTTTCTAATATCCTCACTTTTGAGATACTTCAGTCTCTCATTTATTATTATTATTATTTTTGAGATAGAGTCTTGCTCTGTCTCGCCCAGGCTGGAGTGCAGTGGTGTGATCTCAGCTCACTGCAGCCTCCGCCTCCCAGGTTCAAGCAATTCTCCTGTCTCAGCCTCCTGAGTAGCTGGGACTACAGGCATGCACCACCATACCCGGCTAATTTTTGTATTTTTTTTAGTAGAGACGGGGTTTCACCAAGTTGGCTAGGCTGGTCTCAAACTCCTGACCTCAAGTTGTCCTCCTGCCTCAGCATCCTAAAGTGCTGGGATTACAGGCGTGAGTCACCAAACCCGGCTCTCATTTATTATTATTATTACTATTATTATTTTCAAAATGGTGTTCTGCTCTTGTCGCCCAGTCTGGAGTGCAATGGCGTGATCTTGGCTCACTGCAACCTCTGCCTCCTGGGTTCAAGAGATTCTCCTGCTTCAGCCTCCTGAGTAGCTGGGATTATAGGTGCCCACCACCACACCCAGCTATTTTTTTGTATTTTTAGTAGAGACGGGGTTTCTCCAAGTTGGTCAGGCTGGTCTCGAACTCCCGACCTCAGGTGATCCACCCGCCTCGGCCTCCCAAAGTGTTGGGATTACAGGCGCGAGTCACGGTGCCCAGCCCAGTCTCTCATCTTAATTGTGTTCTTTTTTGGCTATGTATTTAGACAGTTTGTGGTCTTCTCCTTCGTCCTCTTCCCCCAACTGTAAAAAGTAAAATAGAGGTTCCTCTTCAAAGACTTTCCTCCTCGTCTAATTAGGAATAAATAGTAACTTCTCTTAAAAGCAAAATTTATTCAGAGACCTGTGCTAACATTCTTAAATGTCTGCTAGCCGTAATAAAGAAATCAATGTACTTTATCTTCTTAGCTCCCACAATTTAGCCTCAATATTTGCCTTGGCATGCTTATACTGGTCCAAGCAAGCATTAGGTCATAGCCTGTTCCTCTTCCTTATTTAAAAGTGTTTTTATCTTTCTCAGCATTCCACAAGTTACTTCCTCCTTCATTTGTTCTCCTCTACCTTTGCCTCTTTTAAAAAGTTCTAACTTGCTAGCCAATCAGGACAAACATAGAATGTGAGGTCCCGTTCCAGCCAATGGAAACCGGACACAGCAGTAAGGTAGACGCGTGGGGTTATAAACGACCTTGTCTCCTTTGTTCAGTGTACTCTTGTGGCAAAACTGCTAGTGAGTGTACCCTTTCTGCAAAAAGTAAAAATGGCCTTACTAAATAAATGAAATTTATGTTCAAGTGCTATTTCTTTATGGCACTGGAGAACAAGCATTTCAAACACAACCTTGCAAACCACCTCCATGAACATTAATTTCAGTAAAGTGATTGCCAGGATTGTCCACATGCTTTTGCTAGTCTCTACATAGTGAACTTATATTGGGTGGTAGCAAAAGAGAATTTGATTTTCCAATCAGTTTTAAATTAAAATAAAACACAATTGAAGCTAACAGAGCTTCAATTATTTGCAGAGATATGGTAAGAAATACAGGGAGATGAGTTACTTAATAGTTACTAGAAATTAGTATCATAATACAAATGACAATGAAGGTAAGCCATTCAATTTATAGGGATTTTACATGCTTAGGAAAATTCCTTTCCCAGTCAACAAATGACAAAACATAAACTTGCAAGCTATGTATTACGTTGGTGCAAAAGTAATTGTGGTTTGCTATTAAAATTAACAAATAAGGATATTAATAAATGGGCATATTGTAAAAAGAAATAAGGAAGTGCCAGGATTTGAAAAGCCAAGTGCAATTATGCAAGCCAATTTTTTAAGTAATGCAATTTATACCAAATTCCTTGTTTTTCCATTAAAATGAATACTGAGAGGACTTTTGTTTAATTGTACAGTAGATGTGGGTGCAATGCAAGTTCAAGACAAATTTCTGGGTTGGTTTATGTGGACTTGGGTTAGCTGCTTGGTGATCAATATGGCTTTGTATTCATAGAATCCCATGGGGTTTCTGGGTGAAGACCTTGACCTTGTTGCTCTGTCAGATTTAAATAATAAGAATGATGCTGGCCAGGTACGGTGGCTCACCCTTGTAATCACAGCACTTTGGGAGGCCCAGGTGGGTGGATCACTGAGGCTAGGAGTTCGAGACCAGCCTGGGCAACATGGTGAAACCCCGTCTCTACTAAAAATACAAAAACTAGCCGGACGTGGTGGCACATGCCTGTAATCTCAGCTCCTTGGGATGTTGAGAGACTGAAGCAGGAGAATCACTTGAACTCGGGAGGTGGAGGTTGCAGTGAGCCAAGATTGCACCATTGCACTCCAGCCTGGGCAACGGAGCGAGATTCTGTCTCAAACAAGCAAAAGAATGACACTAAAAAATTATGTCCTCTTGCCAGGTCAGGAATTATGAGGTTTCTAGGCCCTTCTTTACTTCCTTTGGATTCCTGGCAGGAAATCAAGAGAGAGAGCAAGTAAACGGATTCCAATTTCCAGCAGCAGGGCATTAGAAAAATTTTGGTCCTTTTGTGAGCCCTTGCGCCCTTAGAAAAGTATGGCTTGAAACAGGGTTTCTCTTATCTTTTACAAGCCTTTTTCCTCAAGCATTGGAATTCTGGTAGTGTTCAAAATACTGTTAAAAAATTATTCTGACAGTGTGCAAGTGATGGGCCTGACAAAAAAACTATGGGACACTTCTTAAAATGGTAAGGAAGACTTTGTTCATGACTATTGCAATAGGTGTCAAAACTATTGCAATATAGCCCTGCATGGTGGCTCGCATCTGTAATCCCAGCACTTTGGGATGCAGAGGCAGGAAGACTGCTTGAGCCCAGAAGTTCAAGACCAGCCTGGGCAACACAGGGATACCTAGTCTCCACAAAATATAAAAATAAATTAGCCAGGAGTGGTGATGCACGCCTGGAGTCCCAGCTACTCTGGAGGCTGAGGTGGGCTGATCTCTTGGGCCCAGGAGTTTGAGGCTGCAGTGAGCCATGATCGTGCCACTGCACTCCAGCCTGGTGACAGAGCAATACCCTTTCTTGAAAAACAAAGACTATGGCAATAGGGGTGAGTGATGGGTCTCAACTCTGAATATAGCAGGGAATTTTTTTTTTTTTTTTGAGACGGAGTCTTGCTCTGTCGCCCAGGCTGGAGTGCAGTGGCCAGATCTCAGCTCATCACAAGCTCCGCCTCCCGGGTTTAGGCCATTCTCCTGCCTCAGCCTCCTGAGTAGCTGGGACTACAGGTGCCCACCACCTCGCCCAGCTAATTTTTTTGTATTTTTTTGGTAGAGACGGGGTTTCACCGTGTTAGCCAGGATGGTCTCGATCTCCTGACCTCGTGATCCGCCCGTCTCGGCCTCCCAAAGTGCTGGGATTACAGGCTTGAGCCACCGCGCCCGGCCGAGGGTGATTCGATATTAAGGGTGGGGGAGTTCTCACTAAACTGACTTAACTGGATTCTTGCCACAAATGGACTAGGCAGGTCAAAGACGACCCAAGGAGGAGACTCAGTCAAAAACAGCTCAGAGGAGCCTCCTGACTAAAGTTTGGTCAAGAGAGTCTTTGTCAATACCCAGCTGGTTTTCCCTTTGTACCACCATGTAGCGCCCTTCCCCCCATACCCTCAGCCCTTAAGGCTCTTTAAAACAAAATAATCAAATTCAAGTTATGGAAATTCGAGGAGGGGCGGTCCCCCCCCCTTCCTAGTTGCGGAGGACAATGGACTACAAGTCCCCTGCGCTCTCGCGGGGCTATGATCCGACCGGCCCTGCCCACATTCCGGAGTCTCGCGCGTGCGCAGAAGGCAGAAGGTCCTGCGCTGAGAGAAGGGGGCGGAGACAGGACTACGCGCCTGGAGTAAGAGGAGGAGGGAAAAAGAGACCATAGATTTCCATCCTTGCCTAGAGCGGCCCTTAAAGTGCCAGGGACAGGAGGGCGGGCGGGGACCACTCCAGAATTGGCCGCTGGCGGTATCATGGCGACCCGGAACCCCCCTCCCCAAGGTGAGCGGCGAGGGCCTGAAGTGGTATCTGGGACGCGGCTCACAGCTCTCGACCTTGCTCCCATGGCACCTCTTCCTTCCCCTGCCCTAGGATTCTTCGAACTGTATATATTTTTTTAAGGCAGCCCCTTTGAGCACCCCCTCCGAGCTAGACTTTTTCGTCCCCCTCCGGAACTCAAGCGGAGAGCCCCCGCCCCCAGCACAGCCCTACCTACCTCCTGCCTTACCTTCACCTCCGGCCCTTTATCTCCATCTTCAAATGTATTATTATTTTCTTTTTTTAAACGTCTAGACTCAAGTGATTTCGCTGGGCTCCAGACTAGTTATCTCAGAGGAGGACCCCTCCCCACCTCCATTCCTTCCACTGATGAAAATGGACCCTGCTCTGACCTTGACCCTACTAAGATTTGGAGGTTGGGGTGACCCCTCACTACTGTGTCATTTCTGAGTTGGCCCTGGCTTCGTGACCCCAGGCTGGTCCCTGGGCCTTTGGGAAAGCAGATGGGGGTCATTGTTGTAGGGCCCTTTACTCTTGAGGCCCTGGTCTCAGGAATTGAGTTAAGTCAGTAGTTTCCATGTGGGCATTTTTAGCTGTAGGCCAAAAGTAATGAGTTGTAACAGATATTTAAAAAGATGTATGGGACATTTCTGACTTTTGATTGACTCTACATTTATTTTTTGCATTTTGCTATTTTGAAGAATATGAAAGTGATGACGACTCTTATGAAGTGTTGGATTTAACTGAGTATGCAAGAAGACACCAGTGGTGGAATCGAGTGTTTGGCCACAGTTCGGGACCTATGGTAGAAAAATACTCAGTAGCTACCCAGATTGTAATGGGTGGCGTTACTGGCTGGTGAGAACAACGTCTTTTTCATTAAATTTCATTTGGGGGCCTGACACTGCTGACCTTTCATACATCGGGAAGAGTCACCGTGCACATGCAGTGGGTCTACACTGTTAATTCTGGAAGAGGCTTTTCTCTGAGTTAAAATTGATGTAATCTACATGCCCAGGCTCCCTGTTGGGTTTTGGCGATCCCCTCCCCCATGCCCACCGCTGTTCCTCTCCTCCCTCCTCATCCTTTTGATTCTTCAGCAAATGTCGTGGATCTGATTCAGTGATAGTAGATAGGAAGAAATATATGAGTTAATTATATGTAAATTTTTACATTTCATTCAGTGCTAACTACTGAAAAAACCTAAGAAACTCCCACGGTAGAACTGGCCTCTAGTATTGTCAGCCCTGTACAGAGCAGTGTAAAATGCTCAGTATGAATTATTGGTGATGATACAGATGATTCTGTTTTTTGTGGGCTCGTTCAGATTATGATAACTCTTTGAAAAAGAGCTGTAGAACATTAGTTCTGTGTTGAAATTAAAGGTCTGATTGCTTACTTGGGAATATTGTGGAGTCCATTAAGAAGTGGTTAATAACCATCAGCCTGACCAGTTAACATTTCAGACCACGTGATAACACAATGGCTACTGTGGATCTAATTCTGTTCTTATAATAAAAGGGCTAGCCAGATAACAAGGGGCAGAAACAAATTTGACTGTTTTGAAAATGTTCGTGAATGTAGAGAAATTTTGGAGTTAGTGAGGGTGCTTAACTTGTGCATAAGCATTTTTTCTTAGATTCTCTTTTAAGTTCATCTTACATTGATTTAACTGAAATATTTACATGTTTCCACTTGATAAGTATAACGAGTGTTTTTATTTGTGTTTTACATGCACCTTGGAATAATGACACACTCCTCTATGCCTTTTTGCAAATGCCATTTTATGATAGAAATACTCATTGTCAAGATTCTATGTTGCAGAGGTGCGGCATTTATTCATGATATGTACTTACTAATGCTGCTGCAGGAAAAAAGCCTGCAATTAGGAGAGAGATGCCTGTCAGGGCCTGGTCATTCAGATGATTCTCCACAGGCAGATAGTTCCTCTAGCCCTGTAATTCAGGGTATGGCTCTCTGCTTAAATAAGCTCACAATTTGGTGCCATGGGTGATTGGTTAATGTCAGTCAGGGCCTAAAGTCCAGTCTTAAAACAGACTCAAAAATAATTGAGAATAGAATTACCAAGTCATTTCATTGTTTCTCCTTGGAGACCAGACTCCTTGTAGATCAAGCCCCATCATTGGCAGAAGTTTGCTCGGAAAGCCTGGAGACAGAGCAGCAGGAGATAGGTTCATTGTAGTGACTGATGCCATCAAGCAATGGATATACATGCTTGTGGAGCACAGTCCGAGGGACATTGTGGCTGCTGCCTGCCTTTTCTGTTCCCTTTTCTGTGCCTTTGTTGCTGACTCCCCTACTGAGGGGCACATTCTTTATGGTAATACAGTCGTCCCTCAGCATAGGATACCAAAATCTGCAGATGCTCATGTCCCTGATATAAAAAGGCATAGTATTTGCTTATAACCTGCACACTCTCTGGTACACTTTAAATCATCTCTTAATTACTTACAACACCTAATACAATGTAAATGCTGTGTAAATACTTGTTATATGGAATTTTAAAAATCCGTGTTACTTTTTATTTTTTTGGTCTTTTTTTTTCAAGTTTTGTGCCCTGATTGGTTTAATTGTAGATGCGAAACATAAAGAGAGCTGACTGTGTATGTGTGTGTGTGTGTATATATATGTATATGTATATATGTGTATACATATATACGTGCATACACGTGTATGTGTATATATGTATATGTATATATGTGTGTGTATATATAGAACCATGGAGGCCAGGTGTGGTGGCTCATATGTATATATATGTGTGTATATATATACATATACATATATGTATATATGTGTGTGTATATATGTATGCACACATATATACATATACATATATACATATACACACACACACACATTTGGATTATAGCCAGGTGTTGGTCCAGGAGCTGTATAATAGAACTCTAATAATTATACAGGCGATTTGTTGCAATGACTATATTCAGTGTAGTAAATTTTTGCAGTTTTCTTAGGATGTAAAACTGATGTGATATTGTGGTGTATATTAAGGAGGAACAGTTAATAGGCACTAACCTAACAAGTTAGGAATTTAGACCAATTCAAGACATGAATAGGAGGCTGAGGAGATTTTATTTAGCTGTAGGTAAGCTGTAGGCTTTTGATCATGACAATTTTTTTTTTTTTTTTTGAGATGGAGTCTTGCCCTGTCACCCAGGCTGGAATGCAATGGCACAATCTCTGCTCACTGCAACCTCCGCCTCCCGGGTTCAAGCGATTCTCCTGCCCCAACCTCCCGAGTAGCTGGGATTACAGGCACGTGCCACCACGCCTGGCTAATTTTTGTATTTTTAGTAGAGACGGGGTTTCACCATGTTGGTCAGGCTGGTCTCGAACTCCTGACCTCGTGATCCGCCCACCTCGGCCTCCCGAAGTGCTGGGATTACAGGCGTGAGCCACCGCGCCCGGCCCATGACAAAAAATTAAAACTATTATCAGGATGGGTGATTGCTAGGAGAGATGGGAGGTGTCAAGAACAGTTAGAGGGCCCTTAAGAATGTTCTGGAAGCAAGGTAATGATGACCTTGAGAATGGAAAGGAGAAAACAGTCAAATAACATTTTGGAGATAAAATATATAGAACTGTGGAGGCCAGGTGCGGTGGCTTACACTTGTAATCCCAGCACTTTGGGAGGCCAAGGCAGATGAAATCACCTGAGATCAGGAGTTCAAGAGCAGCCTGGCCAACATTGTGAAACCCCGTCTCTACTAAAAATACAACAATTAGCCGGGTGTGGTGGCGGGTGCCTGTAATCCCAGCTATTTGGGAGGCTGAGGCAGGAAAATTGCTTGAACCCGGGAGGCAGAGGTTGCAGTGAGCCAAGATCATGCCATTGCACTCCAGCCTGGGTGACAGAACGAGCTCCATCTAAAATATAAATAAATAAAATAAAATAACAACAGAAATGTACTCTCTCACAGTTCCGGAGGCTAGAAGTCTGTAATCAGGATGTCAACAGGGTTTGTTCCTTCTTGGAGGCTCAGAGGGAGATATCTGTTTTATGTTTCTCTGCTAGCTTCTGGTGGTTGCCAGCAATCCTTGTCATTCCTTGGCTTGTAAATGTATTATTCCAGTCTCTGCCTCTGTTGTCCTCACATGTCGTCTTCTCTCTGTGTGCGTCCTTATCGGATTAAAGGCCCAACCTGTCCAGTATGATCTCATCTGAACTCATTACATCTGCAGTGACTCTGTTTTAAAATAAGGTCACATTTAGAGGTTTTGGGAAGGATGTGAATTTTAGGGGGGACACCATTCAACCCAGTGCAGAAGGCTAGATTAGAAATATAGGATTCTTTTGCACAGTGTGGATCTGGAATGCTGAAGGGAATGTGAGCTCACTGAAGGAGCGAATTAATCATGAAAGAAGTATGAGCTGACACAGGGTAGATGAGACACAAAAAATGTTTAATATAAAAATAGGTAGATCTAGATAAGGAGGCTTTTAGAAATGTGGGCTGAAGTGTAGTCATTGAGTGGAACAACAGCTGGACCTGAAAGGGTAGGAAAGCTTTAAATAGGTAGAGCTAGGCAGAAACCCCTAGAAGCAGGGAGATTAATAGCTTGAGCGAAGGTGATGACCTATTTGGAAGTTAATGGGGCTGGAGCCGAAGGTGGGGGTCAACCAGGTATATGGACCATCTTGACTGTATTAAGCAAAACGTCACTTTTATTATGGGAGGTTTCAGCTTATGCAAATGTAGGAGGAGTGTAGTGAACCCCTGAGTACTTGTTATTTTAGTAGCTGCTCTTTTTTTCTATAAATTCCCCTCCTCTTCTCTCTGTCCCTTATTTTGAAGCAAATTTCAGACATTTTAGATTGTGCAATTTTGACTAGCCTATATAACTGAGGGGTTTCTGAGAAGGTTTCTGAGCAGGTAAGGGACGTGATCAAAAGAAATGCGAAGACAGAAGATTTTATTAGGAAAGCAATGAAAAGTAGAAGAGGGAGAGGATTTAGTACATAATTGATTGTTTTCATCTTTTGTTATTTCTTTGATTAAAGGTGTGCAGGATTTCTGTTCCAGAAAGTTGGAAAACTTGCAGCAACTGCAGTAGGTGGTGGCTTTCTTCTTCTTCAGGTATGTCAGAGCTTTAAGCACTTGCCTTTGCTTACATAAAAGGTGGAATTTTTCTTTTAGGCATCAGCTTATGAAAGAGCTACAATGAGTTTGGGAAGCTGACTTTTGTCTTGAAAGATAACGATTTAAATATTTCTGAGTTATTAAGCATAGTTTGATCTCAGCTATTAAAAAGACAGCCATTGCCGGGTGCGTTGGCTCACACCTGTAATCCCAGCACTTTGGGAGGCAGAGGCAGGCAGATCCCTTGAGGTCAGATGTTCAAGACCAGTCTGGCCAACATGGTGAAACCCTGTCTGTACTGAAAATACAAAAATTAAAATTAGCTGGCGTGGTGGCACACGCCTATAGTCCCAGCTACTTGGGAGGCTGAGGCAGGAGAATCACTTGAACCCAGGAAGCGGAGGTTGCAGTGAGCCGAGATGGTGCCATTGGACTCCCACCTGGGCAACAAGAGCGAAACTCTGTTTCCAAAAAAAAAAAAAAAAAAAACCAAAAAAAAAATCTATAATCTTATATCTGAGGCAGGTAGATTTGAAGTTTTAGTTTTGTTCATATTCTTGTAAGTATAAGATCTACAAATGCTTTGCCATTAGAGGATGTTTATCAGGGCATTATCTGGCATTCGTGTCTGTTTGGCATATATTTTTTCAAAAATATCGTTCCTTAAAGATCAAATATAGTAAATCCAAAAATTGAAAATCTCTGGGAATGAATGTGAGCAACACTTTTAAAGATACAGAGAACTGTCAGTTGTACTAGATTAAAAATGATTGATGTTCATAGCAACCAAAATCTGAATTCAGCACCTAAGCCATCGATCATGTAATAACTAGTATAGTTGCTTTAATTACAAGGGGACTGGATTTGTATGTATGAAGCACAGATTTTGAGTTGTTCACTGAGCAGCCTTTTAAAAAATATATGTTTTCTTTCTCTTGGTGACATTATTAGGAATAATTGCTTATTACTTGTTGTAAGAGGTAAAAAAGAACATGATTAATACCTAAATTTAGTTCTTTGGATGAATATGCCAGCATTAGCACAGATGATAATTTTACTTAAGCTGATTTTGACTTGGTTTTATATGGAATCAAGAGCATATTTTATTCCATAGCTATTTTGAAGACTCAGTTGTCATTTCTGTTAGTGTAAAAGGGTACTGGACTGAAGCAGAGTTTCCTAAAATGTTCACAGAATGGAGAGAAATGTATATTTTAATCCACTCTGCATGTCAGTTTTTCAGAAGTCCGTTTCAGTTCACTCAATATGCACCATTCAAATCCACATTTTGTCATTGCCACCTCCCACTTTTCTGCATTTAGTCCACACATTCTTTGAAGTTTTTAAGGCAGAACAACATAGGATCTGTCTGCATCAAACCAGTTTTTCCCACAAATATGACTAACCTTGAAAACTCAGTAGAAGGAAAGTGAAAGGGGAAATAAAGTAACAAATGGCTTTTAGGCTAATTGCCTAATATTCTTTAGGCCCACTTTCATATTTTGGTGACCTTTCTTATATTTAAAGATAAATAATAGTTTATTTAGAACTTAAAGCTTTTCTAGCAACAATATTAAGTGTTTTCCAATAGATATTTATTACACTGCCGTCTTAAAGTACACAATCTCTTCGTTTTAATGTTTTGGAGTTACACATGCTTATAATTCAAAGGGCCAAGTAGTTGTGCAAGGCTTGTTACAGGTTAGTGTAATCCTCCACCTCTCTCACTACCCCTGTTTTTCCATCCCCTGAGACATCCACTTTGAACTCTTAACTGATTCTTAAGGTAGTTTTCTCTTTTTCCCTAAACAAGTTAATTGGACATTTCTTGATCTTTCAGTTTTAGGTGTGAACTATTGGCTTCCCATTATGGAACAGGAAAATTTAGCTGCCATTTATTGAACTGTTTTATTTTCCCTACACTTCTCCCCCCAATCTCACGTACCTGAATACTTTCTTCCCTCTCCCTCGATCGTCTGAGTGTAGTTACTTCCCTTTTTTCATAATTGTGTTAGATCATTCATTACATGGAGTTCACTGAGATTGATTACTTAGAGTTCACTGAACTTCTTGAACCTGTGAATTTATGTCTTTAATCATATTTGGGAAGGTTTTGGCCATTATTTTTACTAGGAAGTTTGGGATTTTTTGTTGTTGTTTTGAGACAGAGTCTCGCTCTGTCGCCCAGGCTAGAGTGCAGTGGCACAATCTTGGCTCACTACAACCTCCGCCTCCCTGGGTTCAAGCGATTTTCCTGCCTCAGCCTCCCGAGTAGCTGGGTTTACAGGAGCCTGCCACCACGCCTGGCTAAGTTTTGTATTTTTAGTAGAGAAGGGGTTTCACCATGTCGGCCAGGCTGGTCTCAAACTCCTGACCTCAGGCAATCTGCCAGCCTCGGCCTCTCAAAGTGCTGGGATTACAGATGTGAGCCACCGCGCCCGGCCAGGAATTTTTCTTTTTCTTTTTTTTTTTTTTTTTTTTTCGCTCTGTCTCCCAGGCTGGAGTGCAGTGGCACGATCTCAGCTCACTGCAAGCTTCGCCTCCTGGGTTCACGCCATTCTCCTGCCTCAGCCTTCTGAGTAGCTGGGACTACAGGGGCCCGCCATCATGCCCAGCTAACTTTTTGTATTTTTTTAGTAGAGACAGGGTTTCACCATGTTAGCCAGGATGGTCTTGATCTCCTGACCCCGTGATCTGCCTGCCTTGGCCTCCCAAAGTGCTGGGATTACAGGTGTGAGCCACCACGCCCGGCCCAGGATTATTTCTTTAGACAACTACTAGTTGTGAAAATCATCTTTCATTGTCATATGTATCAAATAGTTCATCAGTTTAACCTGCTGGGCCAACTTGGTCCCAGAGTCATCTGTCCTGTTTGCTTTCTAGGCCTGGTATACAGCTCTTACCCTGGGATCTCTCTTCAATACCTTCTGGATATTCCCTTTGTTTTTGTTTTGGGTTGTTTCCTATATGTTATGTCTTTCGTTTGTTTGTTTGTTTTTTGAGACAGTCTTGCTCTGTTGCCCAGGCTAGAGTGCAGTGGTGCAGTCTCACTCACTATAAACTCTGCCTCCTGGGCTCAAGGGAATCCTCCTGCCTCAGCCTCCCAAGTAGCTGGGACTACAGGCGTGTGCCACCATGCCCAGCTAATTTTTGTATTTTTGAATAATAGGTCTTGCTATGTTGCCTAGGCTGGTCTCGAACTCCTGGGCTCAAGCATTCCACCCGCCTTGGCCTCCCAAAGTGTTGGGATTACAGGCATGAGCCACTGCACCTGGCCTATCCTATGTCTTGATGTAGTCTTTTATTTTGGTGGACACATCCTCCAATAGCTTTCGTAGAAAATGAGAATGGGAACTATAGTTTTTGAGACTTTGCATGTCTGAAAATTTCTTCATTTTATCCTCACATTTGTTTGATAATTTATTAATAGCTGGGTTTAGATATTCCTCCATTGTCTTCTGACTTCCAGTGATGCTGTTAAAAGTCTAAAGTAATTCTAATTTCTTTTTTTTTTTTTTTTTTTTTTTTTGAGACGGAGTCTCGCTCTGTCTCCCAGGCTGGAGTGCAGTGGCGGATCTCAGCTTACTGCAAGCTCCGCCTCCCGGGTTCATGCCATTCTCCTGTCTCAGCCTCCCGAGTAGCTGGGACTACAGGCGCCCACCACCTCGCCCGGCTAGTTCTTTGTATATTTCAGTAGAGACGGGGTTTCACCGTGTTAGCCAGGATGGTCTCGATCTCCTGACCTCGTGATCCGCCCGTCTCGGCCTCCCAAAGTGCTGGGATTACAGGCTTGAGCCACCGCGCCCGGCCAGTAATTCTAATTTCTGAACCTTTACATGTGTGGGTTTTTTTTTTTTTTCCTTTTGTCCTCAGTATTCTGATTTTTCCCAGTGATGTGCCTTCCTTTGGGCCTATTTTCATCCACTGTGCTGGAAACTGAAGGGGCCCTTTCAGTTTGGAGAAATTTTCTTTATATTTATTTAGTTAGTGATATCCTGCTCTTTAATTTTCCCATCTTTTTTTCTGTGGTTCCCGTTAAATGTATCTCCTGGACCAGTTGTCTAATTTTTCTTTCTTTATTTATTGTACAGTTTTAGACTTACTTTTTGTTTTTTTTTTAAATAGAGATGAGGTCTTGCTGTGTTGCCCAGGCTGGTCTCAAGCAATCCTCCTGCCTTGGCCTCCCAAAATGTTGGGATTACAGGCATGAGCCACTGTGCTTGGCCTAATAATCTTTTTTTTTTTCTTTCTTTCTTAGATTTGGCAGAACACTAATAATCTTTTCAGTTTTCCACTTTCATTGGTCTGTTTTCTGAGAGATTTCTTCAACCTCAACAAGATTTTTTGTTTTTTTGTTTTTTTTTTTTTGAGACAGAGTCTCACTCTGTTTGCCCGGGCTGGAGTGCAGTGGTGTGATCTTGGCTCACTACAGCCTTGACCTCCCAGGCTCAGGTGATTTCTCCACTCCAGCTTCCCAAGTAGCTGGGACTACAGGCATGCGCCACCATGCCTGGCTAATTTTTTGTATTTTCAGTAGAGATGGAGTTTTGCTGTGTTGCCCAGGCTGGTCTTGAACTCCTGAGCTCGAGCAGTCCACCCACCTTGGCCTCCCAAAGTGCTGGGATTACAGATGTGAGCCACCACGCCCAGCTGTTGTTCTTTTAATGTGACTTTAGCATTCTGTTCCTTGCTTTTCCTTCATGGATGCAGTGAGCAGTATCTTTTTTAAAATTTTTTAGTGGCTAATATTTGGATACTTTTTTTTTAAGAGATTGGTGGGATGTATTTATTATGTGTGATTTGTCCTCCCCTAACCCATTGTTTCAACCAATGCAATGGTTAGAAGACAGTCCCTTCAATAAGACTTTTAGAAACACATCATATTACTGGAGCACTAACATTCTTGGAAACCATTTTAATTGCATATCTATAGACCAGGAAGGTTTGTGAGAGATGGTATAGTTGAATGTCTTCTCTAATTCGAAGATAGAAGGTTC